AGCTTGAGACCCGGGTTCCGCTCCTGCACATGGACCGCCCGGCACCTCAGAGAGCCGAGGAGAGGCCACAAAACCCCTACTGACAGAGGGGCAGTAAGACCCCAATACTGCCCTCATAATCTGTGAAACTCTACCAGAATAATCTCCCTCAGCCGGCCCTCTACCGCTGAGTGATGCAGGACAGAACCTGAGAATCTGAGATGCTTTAAGACCTTAAGGCCTCAGGACTGAGAGAGAGAGAATGTCTTAGAGCTTTTATCTGTGCAATCTCTCCATTTGATGAAAATATAAATAAAGTGAGAGCTGTTTGGGCAGAGAAGGAGAGAGAGAGTTCATCTTCCTCCTCAAAGTATCTGTGAAGGGTGTTTGTGCTCTAAGAATGTCACAAGCATCAGTGTACTGGCTTTACCTCAAGAAAACTTTGTCCAGGTGTGTGCTTTGGCTCAATGTGCCTATCCTGATCAGATTCTGGGCAAACGTAGAACTTGTTCCCAATCCAGAAGATTTTGGACGGACCTCATTTACCTCTTAAATGGCCTCTGAGTCCCCATCATCGGATCTGTAGCAGTTCACAGCATGGCAGTTAGCATTTCACTGCTTAGAGAGTCCTCTAGCCATCAGGCCAGGTGTGTGTGAGTGTTTTGAACCTGTTACTGTAATACCACTATCATTATCCTCCTCTCCTGCATGTATGTGTATGTGTAAGCTCAGTTCATGAGTTAAGCACTTGAAGAGCTCTCCAATACCCACGTTGACTTGCTACACACAGGCTACAAAGCTCTCGGTAATCTTCCTGTTGTAAGTCCTTAGTTTTATCTGCCAGGGATTACACTTCTGGCTTCAGAGAAAGAGAGAGGGAGCACGAGAGGGAGAGAATGAAAAAAAGTTTGCGGATAAATGAAAACAAATCTTTAGTGTAATCTCTATAAAGAATACCTGTTTGAGTGGAGAAATTGGCTGGCCGCAGATTGGCCAAATCGCCTTATTCTGCATGTTTGATGTGAACGAGGCAGGTGTGTGCACGTTTGATAATTGTATGTGTATGGAAGTGAGTTTGTGTGTGTTCGCTTGTGTACACAAGGATCAGGAGAGTGTATATGTGTGTGTGTGAGCTGATGAGGCCTGTGTGTGTAAGTGAGAAGTTTTAAGGCTGAGGGCAGTTTGAATGACATGGTGGAGATGGAGAGAGTAACTTTAGATTAATCTTCTCCTGGTCTCTCCTCTCCTGAAGGTGTGTGGCCTTAAACCCATTTTAACTGGGAGAACCTTTTACTCACAGTCCTCTGCATACCACCCAGCACTGATCAATAACAGCCACTGATGACTGGCCCCCACTACCCCTCAACCTCTGCCTTTCAACCCCTAAAACCTCTGCCATCACACAGACACACACACACACACACACACACACACACACATTATACCCCTTATTTTAATGTAGGTGGAATGTGGAACTCTTGAAGGGGCCAAACTTGACATTGTGTCATTACTTTTATTAATTTTTTTTCATTTGAGTCCATTCATAATGTCAAGGTTAGTTTAGCATCATAATTTAGTTTTAAATGATTATTTTTCCACCTTTTCTCTGAACTGTAGGCTTAAACTTTTACTGTACCTTTTACGACATTCACATGTAAAAGTGCAGGGAAAAGTTTTATTTGGTTCAACGTCATATGATGTTTCTAAAAAGAACATTATGTTGTGTATATGCAGTTTAAGGTTAAAAAAACATTATTTTCCACATACTGTACATTATTGTTTCTCCTCTATGCCCCACCTTTCTGAAACACGTTGATTTTTACAAACCTCATCTTTCTGAAAGGCGAGGTGTGCTCTGATTGGCCAGCTATCCAGTGCGTTGTGATTGGCTGAATACCTCAAGCGTGTGACGGAAATGTTACGCCTCTTACCATACTGTGATGCAGTCTCCCGGCAGGACGAGACAAAACCAATAAAACCCATTACAAACGAGGCATTTGTTGCATCCAGTGGGGACATAATTACTGATTATAATGACTTATACAGTCTTTTTTTCGCGCTGCGTTGCGTTGCAGCCTTGGTGAGCATAAGAGACTTCTTTCAAAAATATTTACAAAATCTTGCCCCCCCCCCCCCCCCCCCCCCCCCCCATATATATATGGGTAGTCATACACTACCGTTCAAAAGTGTGGGGTCAATAAGAGGTTTTTTTTTTTTTAAGAAATAAATATTTTTGTATTTTATTCAGCAATGATGCATTAAATGAATCAAAAGTAACCGTGAAGACTTTTACATTGTTACAAAAGGTTTGTATTTCAATTAAATTATGATCTTTTGAACCTTCCATTCAAGGAAATCACTATTTCCTCAAAAATATTAAGCAGCACAACTGTTTTTGACATTACTAATAATAATAAATGTTTCTTGAGCACAAATCACCATATTAGAATAATTTAATAAGGATCATGTGAACTGAAGACTGCCGTCATGTGAATAAATTGAATAAATAAATAAAATGTATTAAAATAAAAAATAGTTTAAAAAAATTGTAACAGTTTAGCAAATTGAACAGTGAGTCTTAAGTGTTTTTTGACTGTAAAACAGATAGATGCTTTAGAATAAACCCACCTCACAGAGGTGGAGGATGAATGAAATAACAGCCATGGTTCCTGGGAATTTAAACGTGTCTTGGTGTGTCAGTGCTACTGTTTTCCTCCCGCCGTAAATGTGCCACAGGGTACTGTTAGCCTAAAGAGCGCTCCTAAACGGCTGTTGTCTTCTAATTGCTTTAATAGCACCTGGCCGGTAATCCCAGGTAATTATTGAGCTGAAATTAGACCGCTACTTCAAACATCTCTTAAAAGGAGCGAAGACTGCCTCAGGAACTTACAGCTCTCTTATCATGCATGCCGGAAAAGTGACATGGATAAGTGGTTGCGGGTTTTGCATTTGTGTGGAGCTTAACGTGTTCTTCCCCACCCCCATGTGAGTGTATGCTGGGAATACTTGTTTAGTCCATTCAGTTCATCACACTTAGTTTTTGCTCTGGATAAATCACTGTTGTTGATTTCTGATTAAATATGAGACCCTTTAATAAGGGGAAGATGCTTTTCATAATTAAATGGTTGAAGCGAGACTCTTGAATCCTAGTTTGATGTCACTTAACAGATTGTGCCAGCCACAAAAGGTACAATGGTAAAATAAAAGGAAGAATAAAACAAAATGAGCTTTGCTTATCAGTTATGTTCTACATTAAATGAGGTTTAGACTATGTAAATGTACATGACAGCAAATTATGTAAAAACATTCCTAATAACTATTGTTCATTGTTGGGAATTTGTTTATTGATGTTTATTGATCTGTGTTTATTGTTGTGGCGGAATCCTGAGCATTGTTATAAGTCTGTTTGTGTGTGTGTGTGTGTGTGTGTGTGTGTGTGTGTGTGTGCATGTCTCTCTCAATAGTAGAAAGGCTCTCGGAGCCCCAAGGGCCCCTCACTTGACTTTTCCCTCCTGCTCTTTCAAGACAACCTTAACCTTTCAGATTGTGCAGACAGATGTATAAACACACAAAAATAACACGCTTGCCCTCAGTGGCATTCGCTCCGATCTTAGCATTTAATTATGCAAGCGTTCGAAGAATTTAAAGGAAGTTATAGCTTCAGCGTCTAGCCAATCTACTCAAACCACACCTTTAGGTTGTCACGGTTCCCTTTTATAATATCATTGTTGTTTTTGAGTTTTAGTCTGTGATTTACATAAGTCTGCTCTGGGCCCCTCACAAGCATTTTTTAAGCCTGTGCGTCCTTGAATCCTCCTGCAGTAGCAGATTCTGTCCAAAAGGGGGCGTTAAGCTGCCGTACATGCGTGAAATGTTGACCAGTTGATGTATAGCACTCTTATCAGGGGAATGGCAGCGTCTCTCTTCCTTTGCACACACAGATCCATACAGATACCTGTCCTATGATAATGTATTTCTGCTGGATGAGCACTCTTTTATAACATGTTAGATTTTTATTTAGATGTGGAATCTATCTGGGCTGCATTCATCAGATAGCTGCAAGTTGTGTCTAGGGCTATTTGATTATCGTTATTAAAAAGTTATTGTGAGGAGAAAAATGCGTGCGCCTGCACCACAGAATATGAATTTTGAGCGATACCATATCCGTAACGCGACGGCTCCTTTTTTAACGGGATTATGTCCGAAAGTGGCCAGACTCCCGGTGCGAAGGGGTTCTGCCGCTTTGTGTTTCTGGATTTGCGGGATTAGAATTCTCGTTCCTCCGTTTAGTTGGACTCTTAATCCAGACTGATACAGCTTCAAAGGCTGGTCTTTATTAATCATGTGTTTTCATTATCCATGGTCATACACTCCTTACAGACCAAAGCTCTCATTAGAATGAGCATGTAAGTCTTTTGTATGCATTTTTCTGTGTGTGTGTGTGTGTTTGTTTAAATTAGACAGAGGGTTCAACAGAAGCGACTTTTTACAATGCTGAGTTTACAAAGCTAATTGGAGAGAGATGGGTTGGATCTGATGTTCTTGATTGGAATTTAAGGACTTTTGAAGAAAGGGACAATAAGAGGGTTGTATGTGTGTGTGGGAGAGAGAAAATTAGTCTGTATTTGAAAAAATGGTCAAAGCGTGGGCTAAATGAGTTATTAATTTAGTGTACAGTTCATGTTTCCGTATAATTACAAGAAGTTGTGTTTCTCTAATTCGTTTCCCTTGTCTGCATACGTTATGCAACACATTCCTATTGTGTATAATGAAAATTAAAAAAAAAAAAATCTTTTTTTTATCTTGTATATTTAATATATTTGTAATATATTTTAGAACATATTTCTATTAGTGTTTTGATAAATAAATCGTCTGTGAGATGTATTGATCCAGACTTCTGAGTATGTTCATTTCCAAGTCAAAGCTGACATGTCATTCATTTTTTTAATAATTTTAGTCTCAATAGCACATATTAATCTCTCTTTTTCTACATCCTTCCCTCTCTTTCTCCTTTTCTATAGCCCAGTCCAATTCCTAGTCCTGTTCTTGGTGGGAGGCCGAATGCATGTCAGTCCCTGTTGGCCTGGTGCCGTGAGGTCACGAAAAACTATAGAGGCGTCAAAATCACGAACTTCACCACTTCCTGGAGAAATGGACTAGCATTCTGTGCCCTGTTACACCACTTCAGACCCAATTTAATGTAAGCCATGCACATTCATGACAATACACACTTTTATACAAGCATCATTACACACAGGAAGTGCTTCTTGAGGTGGTTCAGTCAGCAGTACCCATGTTTAGAGCATGGGGTGCTGACTCAATTTACCCCACGTTAAAGGTATACCTCTCCCAAAAATGAAAATTGTAATATTGTCTTTTGTGTTTCACATAAGAAAGAAAGTCATAGAGGTTTGGAAGGTGAGTGAATGATTTTCAGTTGTTGCCTTTGATGATGCCTTTGAATCATCAGATTACTCAATAACGTCTTTATAATTAATAGCGACAGCCCTAAACTGTATATATACACAACTCTCTTAATTTACCTCTCTCTCTCCCCTTCTGTGCGAATCTCACTTTGTGTGGGGGGTCTAATATGGTTTATTATGGAGAGTTTTTAATCCCTCTGTTTTATTTCTGAACATTTCTGTGTCTGGTCTCATCAGGAATGACTCAAATCCTCCTTAATTACCACACTTACAGCAGATTCATCACAGTGCTGACAGCACCATGGCCAACCACCCTCAGGGTTTAGCATACGCTAAAGTACCAGGAATCTGGCCGCCATCTATTTAAAGGTGCAGTAGGAGATCTTGGAAAATACTAACTTTAGCCTGATAGCGAACGTCCCACCCTCCCTGCAATCGCCGTCCAAAGCCACGCCCCCTTAACGCATTTACGCTCACAGACCAGAATACCAGAGACAACATTACTACAATAGGCTACATCAGCGGTTCCCAATTCCAGCCCATGTTCCGAAGTGAAGTAAACTTCAACGGATTTCCCCCGCTCAGGCAGTAGGGAGCAATGAACACTGTGTAGGGATCATATCGATCGGAACAGAGTTCATGCACGTAACTCACTTCTAACGAGCTGGCGCGAGGACTGGATTAACCGCTGGGCTACATCATGTGTCATTCACCGGTGAGAAAACTTTAAAAGTACTACAATACCAGGAAGGAAGATCGGGTTGTTGATGTTTGTCTGCCATTCTCGCTCTGTCTGCACAGCGTGCGTGAACGCGCTGATGACGTATCCTGTCTGCGCGAACCCGTTGCGCAGAGGTATGTTAATACATACGTTGACAGGCAGGTAGGAAAGCATATTAAAACGCTC